TAAAATGAGCACAAAATCAGATATAAAGATTTGTGCACAGGGTACACAGCAGTGAAATTTACCTCCAATAAAATGTTTGGGGTTTTTTTTGCATTTCTTCTCACAGAAATTAACTGCTTTTCTTGTCTGGTGCACAAATATGTTCATCAGAAATAACACATGCAAAAAGCGACAAATGTTGGCAGTGATGTTGTGACACTCTTTACCATGCTCCAGCCTGTAAAATGGCACTGAAACCTTTGATGTGGTTGATGTCACTTGTGACTCTTGGGGATCTTCTCTTGTCCACTCAGCAGTGGTTTCTCTCCTAGAAGGGTTCTCCAGTGATCTAGTTACTCATACACAACCCATGGCCTTCTGGTTCCATGGACACATCAAGAATTTCCATGCCATTTGGGGTGTTTCTGATGGTAACACCTCTGCCAACCACCGCTCAGATGGGAACATACTGGAATAGAGATGGAATCCAGAGTGGTCCTGACCTGGCACGAACTCCATCTCTGCCAATAGCGCGACATCTGAGAAGGTGCTGAGAAGCTCACAGGTTTTGTAATGTAGGCTGTTGGGCAAAGAGAGGGGAAGTAGCAAAGGGAGGGGAGTTCCTCCAAGACTTATCCTCTGATTAATTTTTCACTTCCTTCATTATCACATTCTCCTTTTGTACTCCCTTGCTGCCTTCCTCCCTTCCATTTCAGGTCCAGTTAGGAATGAGATGCAGAGACTTGGGGTGTTCTGCTTCCCACCAGAGGTAATAATTCACCAGTTCCACATATACCCAAGACGTAATGTGGGGATATTAGCAAGAAAAAAGCCTGCTGCAGCTAAACCTTAATCTCACGCACTGCTCTGGGGGCTAGCTTGATTTTCAGAGGCCTGTGCAATGCTTTGAAGGTCTCTGCAGTGCCACTTGCACACAGCAATCCAGAACAAAGTTCTGTGGGTAGTCTCAAAGACATACCTGCCCAAGCTAGCTCTGCCACACCTCTCAAAGTTGAATGATATTTTTGTGGGGGATTGTGGTGGCCATAAGAACTGCCTACATGCTCACTTGAATGCGAAGAACTCTTTCAACTGAAAACAACCCATCTTCAAGCATTCAAACCATTTAATTGCAAACAGTTTTTACTTTTGAAGCTTCCTTACAATTTTCAGAAATAAAATAACCACATCTAAAGCAAAGACTCATTCCCCAACCAAAATTTTATCACAAAAGCTACACAAAATGTTAATGTAGGGCTCAGTGAATTGTGTGCTTTGGCCCTGAATGATTTTGCTCTCCAGTTCCCATTTTGACAAGAAAACAGAAATATTAGAGTTAAGTTTGACCTAGTTATGCTTATGGGTTTGGATGGCTGGGTTTTATTTTTTTCCAGCTCAGTCCCAGAGTTGAAAAACAATCATACACAGCTTAACCCAGAGCACTCCCCAGCTCTGAGGCTGGTGGCACAGCCAACTTTGCAAAACACAGGCATGAGCTAGGAACATGCAGCAGTCAGTAATGTCAGGCTTTAGAAAGCCTGTACTGGCTCTGTGTTACATTGAGCTCTTTCAGACTTTACATTACACCCTACTGTTTCCTGGTTACTTTGTGCAGTCTGCTGACTCTGGAGTTTTATTAGTCTGATTCTTCCTCTAGGGTACTTTGGGTTCCGTCATCTTTTTCTTCCTCTCGCTTCCCTCCATCCTCATCCTCTGAAGGATATTTTATCCCCTTACTTTCTGATGAACTGTTTCTTATAGTTTCTGCCTGTGAAACACAGGTACGGACTCCTTGGGCTTGAAAGATGGCTGTAGGACAGGGGAAGGAGTGCACTAGAACAAGAGCTTGTTGCTTCATGGCAAGAGGTGGGTGCTCAGTACTCCCAAGGCGAGAGGGCCTGCCCAGTAGGTCAGGAGCGCCACAGCCCCTGGGGCAAGGGAGCAGCTCCTGGGGACCGGCCTCTCTCCAGGCAGCAGGGTTTCCTCTTCACCACCCCGCTCCTTTCAGGCACCCGGTACCGAGTACGCACAGGCAAGATTTCCAAGGAGGCCATTAAGGTCACTTACTAGACAGTGGGAGCACAGTATCATTTATGGGGAGGGCTCCCTCTTCACCTTGGTGGCAGAGAAGTAGAAGAGGGCAGGGGCCTCGGGTGTTTTAGCTCTGGGCAGGATTCCTAACCTCCAGCCCGCTTCCCTCTCCCCTCCCACTCCCATTACTGAGAAATATTTGGATGCAAACAGAAGGATTTGGGCAAACAAGAGCCAGAGAAGCACATCTGTTTTAGTTCTAAGGAATAGTAGTAAGGGAATTTAAGGTGATATGTATGGAGGCTGAGAGAAATGGTCATTTCCACCAGGGTGCTAGGCTAGCCAGAAAGGTTGCAGGGCAGAAGCTGGGGACATTCCAGGATGTAGTTCCAGGCTGTAATAAAGGAGCAAGAAACAGAAGACCTACAGGATAAGGGTAAATTCCAAACCAGATACTTAGTTCTATAGTTTTTATTTTAAAAATGGGAAACAACCACATTAGGAAGCATATAAAACACATCCAAAATATTCACAACGCTATTACAGAAAAAGAAAACTAAAAGATATACCATGTGAGAAAGACCTACACATTTCGGTCCATATGGAATGCTCATATGCACAGCTGTAGGAGGAATTTCCTAACATATAGATGCCCATACAGACATCATGTCTGGAAGTGCTGGAGGGTCAAAGGGCACAAAAAAAAAAAAATCTGTATAACCGAGCCAAAATATGAAAGTTGAGAAATAAGTCTTATATAATACTTCTGAGAATAAATGTCTGGCATGGAAGCCTGATAGAAAGCTAGGGAAAACTGGATGTAATAGGATTGCATTGTGCAAAGCTGGAGTATTTCAAATGAAGTCACGAGAAGTATTTCACAGCAGCGGATTTCACTGATCTTTGCAACTGTTTCTCATTAGGGAAGGTAGAAATGTCATCACTCCAGTTACCGAAAATGCCAGATACACGCCCCCAGAATATACATCAAAGGGAATTTCTCTGACCTGCTCTGAAGCAGCATGTTGTCAAGAAAGCTTGGCCTATTCACACTACAACAATTTTGCTGTCATTCCTGCCTTTCTGAGCCTTTCTTCCTTTTACCCACCTTGGAATCTGTGGGCCTGCCTCTCTTCTAGGATATCTAGCGATGAACTCCAGCATGAGTTTGCAGGTAGACCTGAGTTTGATCAAGTCCAAAAACGCAGATCTTGGAGCAGGAGTTTAAACTGGACCTACCTCTGTGCTACCTTTAGATAGCTTGTGGAGGCCTGGACGTGTCTCCAGGGCCTGGAGTCTCACTCAGCAGTGCTGCACTCAGTGAAGCGAAGCTCCCACCCCTTGATTGCAAGTATACCATGTGCTATCTTTTGCCTTCCTGAACTGCAGTAGTCTGGCAGCAAGGGTAGGTGTATACGTACTCTCGATTGCCTAGCGATATGACAAGCGGGAAGACCAATGTTTACTGATGTACAATTACTGTCTGCCACATCCCTTTTCACAGAGGCACTATTACAGAGCTGTAAGCATCTGCACAGCATGCTGCGCACTGGTGAGCATAACATCATCATGCGGATCTTCCAGAAAGCACACACGGGGCAAAAACATTCGGCCTGCAACCAACCAATGGACTGAGCACTATAGACCTTTCACACTGCTAAGCTAGCAAGTTCCAGTAGCTCTGGCCTCTAGTTCTGCATGTCTACCTTTAGGAACTTAGCATGCCATAACTGACCATGCCTGTGACCAGAAGGGTCATACTACATGCCTCTGTCTAATATTTATAAGAAGAATTGCTAAGGAAATACAGCTTTGGAAAATAATTATCCTCACACAACTTCAACAATCTGCAAATTTCAGACTTTCTTACCTACTAGAATACAGCAGAGAAGCCAAAAAAATTCAAGAGAAGGCAGGAAAACTTAACTTTCTGATTTGCAATCACCACCCTCAATCATCCCATACAAGGCTTAACCATGACTGCAAATATAAACTAACAACACCCACTTGCTGCAATACCACACTTTCTAATCAACACTTGGGAATAATATTTCAAATTGCCATACAAAAAATCCCAAACAACAGATTTTGGTGAACAAACATACTTCTCACTAGTACACAAGTCTTCGAATTTCTTTCCGGAGGGCACAAATAACTTAAAGATATGTGCATAATTGGCTCTGTTGTACATACCATCCAAAATACCAGTCTCCTGTTTAGTACCACATTTCTCCTTTACAGTCTTATTGCACTTCCAGTCTACAGCATCTTTTGTTAGAATAGCTATTTCTCTGAAACATCTTCAGTTTCATTATCTGTACATTTGTGTAAATTATTAAAAAAATAAATATTTACAAAGTGACATACAAATAAATTAACTTAAGTAAAAGTATGCTTTCAGTCTGTCTATACAAAAAAAAAAAAATAAAAGAGCAGGAAAAAATATCCGTCTAACTTGGTCCCCTTTTTCCTGAGGCTGAAAAAAGTGTACACTGGATAGGAAAAAGCAAGGAGATGGCTTTTTGGTAGGCTTGTTAAATTCCAGTGTAACACTGCACACACACACAGAGAAGACTCAAAGGGCCGGGGACTTGTTTAGTGGGTAACTTCAACTCACTATAAAAATAGTAATTAGATTCAAATACATAATGGTCACTGCGTGCATAAGTATGTTAATCCTAAATAGCAATTATAGGTGAGAAAAGCAAAAATATTGCCAGCTCTTCTCTGTTCTCCTGATGTTTGTGACAGGGAAGATGAGATTTTTCAAGTGCCAGGTGCCTTCCAGTACTTGAAAATGGGATCACCCATATCAGATTTGCTTAATGCTGGTAAGCCTGGCAGAATGGGGGAGTATGTGGGTGCAAAGAAGACAATAGCAGCAATTGAAGGGGGAAAAAAAAATGTCCCAGTTCTCGTGGTTTTCTTTGCTCATTCCTTTAATGACTCTTTAAGCATGTAAGAGTCGAAGAAGGGGTGTGTCATGAATCTTAGGCAACTTCTTTGTCAGGGTGTACACTGTTCAGCTCTACCATGGGGTTCTTCTCTACAGGTGATGTGGGGCTGGCTCCTGCTCGTCCTTCAAAGCCCCTGGAGATGTCTTCAAAAGTCCTGCCCTTGGTCTCCGGCACTTTGAAGAACGTGAAGACAAAGAAGATGACCAGGAAAACAAGGAAGATAAGGAAGACATAGGAGCCACATAGTTTCTGCAGGGAGGACAAAAAGCAGGTGGTTTTAATTTGAAAAGCTCAAACCTAAATACAAAGTCATTTGCTGTTGATAGGTCAAAATTCTAACACCTTTCTCCAACAAAGCCCTTACTGACTTTTTTTTTATTCAACACAGCATTTTTTAAAATCAAATCAGGTTCCTGCAGGCTTCTGAAATGCTTTAATGTTCCTGAGGGTGACAAAAATTGATGCTTTGAAAGGGAAAGCCTTGATGTGCTAATTAAGGTGGCTCTTCCAATTATTTGTAAGCTACAAGCAGTTAAGACAGCAGAATGTAAGGTGAGCCACACCACTCAACCTTCAGTAAGAATCAAAACACAGAATCAGGGACCTCTGAAAGACAGACCAGCCCTCTGCTCAAAGCAGGGACAACTTCAAGGAGACATCACGTTGTTAAGGATCATACAGTCATATTTTGAAGTCTCCAAGGATGGAGATTCTACAACCCTGGACACCTATTCCAACACTGCCAGCACTCTCACAGTGCTTTGCAAACTGGGTCCTTACCTCTGCATAGGGGAAGAGCATTCCCACCAAGAAATTAGCGGTCCAGTTGGAACAACCAGCCACTGCCATGGCTGCAGGCCGTGGGCCCTGGCTGAAGAGTTCTGCCACTATGAACCAGGGGATAGGGCCAGGGCCAATCTCAAAAAGAGCCACAAAGCCAAAAGTGGCAACGATGCTGATGTATCTGATCCACTCCACAACGTCCTGGCAAGGCAACAAAACAGGATCAGCTGCAATTTGAGGCAAACATGGCACAGCACAATGCCTTCTCCAGTATCACAGCTTTCTCAGCTGCATTGTGAACACTGTGGCACAGATTCTGAAGTTAGGAAGTTGCACTCTCCACTGCACACTCGCTCTAGCCCCAGCTGTACCTGCCTACAGGGCAGAATTGCAGGGCAAAGCAGATGTATAGTCTTATAGGTCCCCTTCTGGGGTCAGCCTGAACAAGAACACTAATCGCTCACCTTCAGAGCTAAAGCGACAGTCATGAGAACAGCACACACAGCCATGCCACCCAAACCAACTAAATGGAGGGTCCTGCGCCCTGCACGCTCCACCAGGAACAGCTGGAAACATGGCAAAAGGAGAAAAAAAAAAAAAAAATCAGTGACTTTAGCAGCAAGAGCAGAAGAGACTCCCTTGCTCAGTGTGCCCTGCACCTCTTTCTGCCTGCAGCCCTCAGTGCCAGTGGTGATCTCAGCATACCTCACCAGGCTGCTCCACCCTTGAACACAAGTTTTTTCCTCTGGTTCTTGCTACTGCCTTCTCTCACCATTCTTCCCCCCCCCCCCCCCTCCCCCCCCCCTCCCCTCCGCCCCCCCCCCCCCCCCATGGACTCCTTTTCACACTCCTTTTCTTCTAAAAGGATAACAATACTTCTTTCTCCCCCCTCTCCTCCCACAATGCTTTTAATGCATTCTTTTATTTGCTCTTATAGCCCAATGCTTTGCCACAGCCTGGCTACTTGTCTTCAGTCACATTTCCCAAAAGCACCCAGGTAGACAAGTTACCTCTTACCATAACACTCACTTACCGATATAACAGTGAAGACTGTGTTTACCACACCAGCTCCGATGGTAGCATACACAGGCTGTGTGATACCAGCTCTTTCAAAAATCCCTGTAGAATAATAGAATACCTGGGAAGAGAAGCAAAAGTTGGACACTGTCACAATTCCAGTGCTTGAGAGCATGCCTCTTGTTCCCTGCCCAATGGCTTGCAGGCCCAACAGGGAGTTTCTAAGAAGCACTCAACAGTATAAGACAGCATGCTTCCAGTCAAGGTTCATTCACTTGATGCAAGGCTGCCATGTCTTGCCAGGGTGCGTATGGGAAAGTGAAAGCCAATATAATCTCCACCTTCCGTCTTAGCAATCTCTGCAGTTATCACAGAACAGTGACCTCCAGTCAAGGTGCAAAAAGGGGTTTTTAGAAGCACAGTTCTCTTAACATTAGTGGCAAGTGCAAGTGTAGCCAGAAATAAGGGAGGGCCAGCAGATGGGACAGGAAGATAACTCACAGCATTGATGCCCGAGAGCTGTTGGGAGAGCTGCAGCATGATGGCAATGATAATGGCTTGACGGTAGCTTGGAGAACGGAAGAGCTCTGGCACAGTTGCTTTCTTTTCCTGAGACATTTTAGCACTCTCCTCTTTCATCTCCAGGATGTCTTGCGACACATCTTGTGTGCCACGGAGCTTCTGGAGAACTGGAGGGAAGAATAAAAAAAATGCCAGGTGTAACACACCCACAGCCAGTAGGTTCCCCCCACCCTGCCCTGCTATTTCAGGGAGGGCACACTGAGAAGACTGGACCACCTACCAGTCAGTGTTTGGGACTGCTGCCTGGGAAAGACCAAGCCTCTACATGCAGCCTTGCTCATCTTTTCAACCCAGAGGTCAGGGTGCTGTGATCATGTGCTCCTCATGTTGCTTGATCTCCAGACTTACACTTGATCCCTACTTCTGTTCACACGCTTGCCAGAGCTGACTACAGCCCTCTGCAGTAGGAGAGGGAAACACCCTCCAAGCTCCCTGTTAAATGCCTTTCAGGAGGAGCTGACAAAGCTGCAGCAGCTGGCCCTGCTACATCCCACCAGGCCAGGTGCCACTCCTCATGTCTTAATCCCACCTGGAGTCTCTGCTGGGATGCCAGGTTTCTCACACTTCCTGGCACTGGTGCAACCTAAAGGATGGGAGGGTAGGGCTGGTGCCCTCCAGGAGTCACACCCTGATCCACCACAGGCTCCAGAGTCAGTCCTGGCCTCCCACTCAAGTTCAGTGCAGGCTGGGAGCCCAAATACAGCCCTGCCCCTTCAGAGATGAGTTCTTACCTGCTTGTGCTTTCTCTTCCTCCATTTTGTTGATCAATAGGAAACGGGGGCTTTCAGGGCAGAAGAGAAGAGCCACGCACTGCAGGATTGCTGGGAGGACTGTGAACCCCAAAAGCAGTGGCCAAAGTGCTTCAGTCCCCATGATTCCCTCCAGGCCAAAGATCTACACCAAGAATTGGAGAGAAAGAGTGATTCAAATACTCCAATTCCTCACCCCCACACCAGTATGACAGGACCACATACTACACACCTGATGGCAAGTGCAGCCCACCTCACCCTCCCCCCAGCCCCTCTTTCCCCTGAGGGCAGGATCAGGTTGTATCAAGCCTACCTGGGCCACCAGGATGCCCACAACAATGCCCAGCTGGTTGAGGGTGCCAAAGGCTCCACGAAGGCTGGTGGGCGAGACCTCACTGATGTACATGGGCACAAAGCCAGTGCAGAGACCACAGAAGAGGCCAATAATGAAGCGGCCAATGATCAGCATCTCCACTGCCTTTGCCATCTTGGAGAAGCCCATGAGAGTGCCACCAGCAAAGGCCAAGATGTTCACCAGTAGCATGGAGTTCCTCCTGCCAGGGTAAAGATGTCAAGACTGAGCTTAAACCAGCAATAAATTTGGAAAATCATTGGGAGAGGGGTAAACCTACCCATGAGCCCCTGTCTCAGGGCTGGGAGGAGAACAGAGTAATACCTGTTCAGCTCCTGCCTTGGCCTGCCACCCTTTCTTTCTGCAGCCCACACATTCTTGCTTCCTCTCCAGCCTCCTCCTCCTCCTCTCACCTCTGCCCTCTTCCTCCCAACACTGCATTGTAGAAGGGAAACTTCCCTAATGCCTTGAATCCCTCTTCCCAACTTACCTGCCAAATCTGTTGACGAACAGGCTGACTGAGAAAGAGCCGATCATACCTCCTACCGAGAAGATGGCCACAGAAAGGGACCACAGAGAGGTAAGGAGCTCTGGGGAGGCAGCCTCCCCGCTCCGTTCTGACAAGGTTCTGTTGAAGAACCTCTGGATGATCTGCAAGAGAAAGCAGGTGGGGACAGAGTTACAATCCAGTGGGAGCCATTTTGCACTGGGGAGAGGGGAGATTACTTCTGAGGTCTTCTTTCTGTTTTCATGGAGGCAAAAAGGATAGACCCTAAAAATTCAGTAGGCAGCAACAAGTCATAAAAGGGGAAGATGAGGGTGCAGAAAGAGGAACTTTCATTGAGAAATTCAGTAGACAGGTAGCAGTATGATGAGGGAGAGATTGCTTCAGTGAACATGGTGGTGGTGGGCCAGTGATGATTAAGGAAAACAGGCTTATCTTCTGAAAGTTTCTGGATGATGTAAGCGCTGGTGGTGCTTGGGGGGCAGGTGCGAGACAGTTGGGAGCGAGAGGGAGCAAGAAAACATGACCAGAAAATGGAAGGGAACATTTCTGGCAATACCAGAACTCTAGCAGCAGGGATGGGCTTTCTGGGATGGAAACAGTTTAAGAGACACAGAAAGTTTCACCGAGGTAAGCCTGAAAGACTGCAGCATTACATAAAACAATCCTTCGTTGTCCCACGGGGATGTGATAGGGCTGTGTTGCTGATTTCCAAAGCATCTTTGATAATGAGGGAAATTCTGCAAGGGCTGAGGGGGACATGGTCTGCCCCCAGCAGATGGCAGCAGGACATTAGCTCAGGAGGACACCCCTCCCCCTCAGCATCGTCATCGTGTCGTCCACCACCCCCACCCCCCGCAGTGTGAGATGTGCATCTCTTCCAGTAGACAGGGTGGATGTGGTATTGGTGACTCAGTTCCTGAGAGGAACCATCTTATAGTTACAAGAAAACTAAAGAAAACTACATTTCTTCATCTCTTTTTTTCTTAGGCTACACTCATGAGATTATTTGGTCAGAGTGCCCCAGTCACAAGTACTGAATCTACACTTAACACAAGGAGTGAATAAACAAATAAAATAAAGAAGCCTGAAAAGGTCCCTGAGATAACTTAAGCTAGAGCAACTGTAATCCCTGCCAACTCTCAACTGTTTTCTGCACACTGCCCTTTAAATTCCTTCTCCCATGGCTGGTTTATTCTGACTCAGAACTGAAGTGGCTCACATTCCTACACACACCAAATATAGACCTACCAGGAAATGGCAGATGGACCCCTCCTGCCCTAGTCAACTCTCTGCACTCCTAATTAAGAGAATTAACCTCTGCTCTCTCTTCTCCCCAAAACTTTGCCCTTCCTGTCCATTGTTGTAGCGGAGAGGGAGTTTTAAATGTCTTATTTCCTTGACTTCATAAACCAGAAGCAAATTATTAGCTGCTTGGGAGACAGCTCCTCTCCTTTCTACACCTTTGTTTTCTCATCAGCCCCTCACTCACACCATCTCCCCCGCTCATTCTCCCTCTCACCTTCTCAGGAGCATTGATGACACCAGTATTGTACCCAAACTGGAGAGATCCAATGGCAGCAACGGAAACAGCATAGATAAGGGGTGATGTGATTTTCTGTGGAGAGATAAAACAATTATTTAATTTGGTTAGTCATGCTTTCTACAGAACTTGAGTTTCTCTTCAGCATAAACAGCAGCTGCAGCTCATAGGTGCCATGTGCAAGTGTGCCACGGGCAGGGAATAGGCTTTTATCCAGCAAGGGTGGGTACCAGTAACAGAGACCCTGGAAAGGGAGATGCAACTGTACATCAGGAAAAATTTCTGTGACTAAAAGTAGGAGGGAGGCCTGTTAGGACCTCCCCATTATTATCTCCTGACCTTCATCAACTATTCTCAGTTCATTAGTAATGAATACACTGGCTGCATTAGTGGCTGTTATTTTGGGTTGATCTGCTTTACAGAAAAGCTTTTACCGATCTCTGGCATGTCATGAAACAAGGGTCTAACTCTTCCCCATGCCAACTGACAAGTTCCCAGAAATTGAGTCTCAGATCTGCCCACGAGCTATACTGGCAGTCACTCCTAACAGTTAAAACATGCACTCTTCAGCAACAGGCTTGCTTTTCCCAGGCTAGAGCTTCCCAACCCTGCCCCAGGGCACCTGGCACAGCAGCCTGCTGCCTTGCAGAGGCGGCAGCAGTGCTGCCAACCTTCCCGTTTATTTTTCTTGGTGCTGTGGCAATACTTGGCATTTTAAATGAAGCACAGTCCCTGGAATTTGAGTATATGTGAATCTCTCTCTCTCTATTAAAATAAACTGCTGAGCCCTGAGCCATAGAGGAAGCTTGAAGGTCCAACCTCAGAAGTCCCACAGACAGAAATTTAAGTATCAGTGAAAAGCATCTGACATTTTCTACATTTTTAAAGCTTGTGGCATTTAAGCCAGCTCTTTTAGTGAGGCGTGGGGGAGCAGGTGACTCAGGAGTTGGCACTTAGACGGTCAGTGCTTGAGTTGGCACAATTTGGAAAGATCATGTTTCTGTCTCAGGAGGGATTGGAAGCTTTTCCAAAAATATTAACAGTCCCTTTTCCAAGGCTTTCCAATTATTGTCCTAAGGCTGGCAGGGGAGAGAGAAGTACTCCATGGGGCCAGCTGTCACAGCTCTTCCAGTCTCTCGTTTTCCAGTGCGGCTCCAGGAGCACGGAGGGCTCCCAAGGCCGCCCGAAATTTTTGCCAATAACCTTCCGCCAGTGCTCACACCACCTTTACCAATCTTTCAAGCCAAACGTGTAGGTGCTTCTGGCCTGCACAACCCTTACACAGCTACAAGTTAGGCCCCAGTAAACAGAAACTGAGGAAATTACTCTCAGGCATGGTTTCCCCCACCTACATCATGTAAATGTCTCAGGCTGAGCTCTCTTCCTGCCATGGTTAGTGATGGAGACAAAGGGGCCGAGGCCCTTTTCTTGCAGGGGGCAGATGATACCCAAGGTAGCATTCACACCTGAACACACCCTTGACAGTCTATGCCTTTTTCTCCCTGCCACCCTGTGACCACTCCCCTCATTTTTGTCACAAGGAAATTTGGCGTAGAACCACAAGGACACAGCTCCTTCAAAGCACCTGGATGCCTGTAAAAGGGCATTAGACATCTAAGCACTTGTAGGATTCCAGGCCAGTTCATCCCTAGTCAGCAGGTACAGCAAAGCTGAGGACAGAACCCAGCTCTCCACATTTTCACAGTGACTCAACAGCATCTTTCCCCCCGAGGGCTCTGCTTTGTCATGGCTTACAGTGGTCACAGCTGGCCTTTTTCTTCTGGGTGCAGCAGGGACCACAGGGTTATCTGCTTTGTGGGTACCCCTTACCTACATGGTACACACATAGAGCTATAAGGAGGTTAGTTCTTCTACCGTCTTTCATACTCCCTTCCCTTGGCTGTTGCCTGCTATTCATCTCCTACCCAGTCTCACACCACCTAGACATCACATGGCCTGACCCATCCCCACCAGTGAGCCAGACCGTGATCTAATGTATGGATCATTTGTCACTGCTTGGAACTGCCTCACTTCCCAAAAGGCAAAGAGGGAGCTCAGAAATAGTACAGCTACACTCCCGCCTATCTAAAGGCTCAAGGCGGAGGTCTGTACACCGGCAAGGAATTCCAGCCACCGTCCCTCCCTCCGACCACAGGCATCAGCAGCGTTCATTATCCAGGAGATGCCCCCCTCTCCTTCACAGACTGGAACTTCAGAGCAGTACAACTTGTTGAACCCAGCTCAAGCGGCCTCTCAGCCCTCCTCTGAGCGACCTTGACGAGGTGCCCTCCTTTCCTCTGCCCCATCCTCTCGCACTACCCGCATCTCCCATCAATATGGCGGTGAGGGCCCCGGGCTCCCCCGGTTCTGCTGTTCCTGTGTAACCGTAATCCCCTGGCATCCCGCACAGGGTTCAGCTGGATATTTGCCGTCTCCCTTTCCTCACGCCGGCCTGCTTTTCTCCCTTGATGCATTCAAACACACGCAGTCAGTAGCTCACTCCACCGGTGCACGACTCGCTCGTAGCTGCAGATGAGCTATGATACCGACAAGGCTCTGTCCCCTGCTCTCCAAGGGAGAAACGGGGAAAGGATATGTTTTGCTTTCTTCTTGAGATTTAAAAATACCTTTATTATAAGCCATACCACCACCAGCAAAAAAATGCCTTTAAAAGTAATCCGCCTTTTAGCATCACGAGTCCTGGGACAAATGAGTGCTGCCCCGCCAGCAAAATAAACCTCGTCATCAATACGATAAAACACGATGGCATCATGTGGATCATCAGGCCACAGGCACGAAAACAAATCCATCTTACGACCTGCAACAACCCCTCCCGAACAG